AATAATATTGTAATAACTATATATGGTGTCAGATGGGCACTGCATTTATTGAAATTATCACTTAAGTTATATAAATGTTTAATCATGGGGCTGTATACCTGAAACCAACATATTATACATTAACTATAATTTTAAAAATTAAAAAAAAAAAAAAAGCTGCAGAGCCTGCCCCATGTGGTTCGGTGCTTGAGCATCAACCTGTGAACCAGGAGGTCACAGGTTCAATTCCGGCCAAGGGTGAATGCCCAGGTTGCGGGCTCAAACCCCAGTGAGGGGCATACATGAGGCAGATCGATAATTCTCTCTCATCATTGATGTATCCCCCTCTCTGAAATCAATAAAAAAATGTAGCCGAAACTGGTTTGGCTCAGTGGATAGAGCGTCGGCCTATGGACTCAAGGGTCCTGGGTTCGATTCCAAGGGCGTGTACCTTGGTTGAGGGTACATCTCCAGTAGGGGGCGTGCAGAAGGCAGCTGATCAACAATTCTAACTCTATCCCTCTTCCTTCCCCTCTGTAAGAAATCAATAAAATATATATTTTTTAAAAAGTATTTTAAAAATAAAATGAAGAAATAAACCAAAAGGAAGGCATGGGATCAAGAAGAACAGGACTCAACTAAAGTGAAAGAAATTCCCAGAATGTCAGCTAAGGGAAGTCCCAAGATGACAATTCTGCAGCAGGCCTAAGAGGAAATAATCCAGACTAAAGCCGGAAGGACAGCTACAAAAAGGATGGATAACAACAGGAACAAATGGAACTGGTAAGTATATCTGACAGACGTGACCATGGGGAATATTACACTGAGAAGCATTTTATAAAGCTGCTGGAGGGTACAGAAAGACTTTTCTAGACAAAACTAAGCAAAAGAAAAAATTAGGCATTAAAAACAAAAGGTTACACAAGAAAATGAAATTATAGTTAACTATCTCTGCAGTAACAAATATTTGGTCATAATGATGAAAACTGAATATGAATTTACCCTAAAATTGTGGAATAACAATATTAGAAAGATGAGGAATAGCCTAGTTTTTAAAACCTTTGAACATCTATCCCTTTAAAATCACTGACATTTACTTACCGCCAATTATTCCATTCTAAGAAAAGCCTCTATTTTCTTAAAGTTAAATTCTATAACTACACTTTCAAGTAAAAAATTCAGTAAAATGTTCTGGTTTTGTCTTGGGATATATCACATGGTCATTCTAAGGGAAAAAAGCCAATAAATGCAAAGCAAAAACAAAAATTAGATGTCTATGTAAGTTGTTTTGTCGTTTTTTTTCCGGAAAAAAAAAAAAAAAAAAAAAGGAACGGTTCTTGAATGTGTGTGTCATCCTTGCGCAGGGGCCATGCTAATCTTCTCAGTAATGTTCCAATTTTAGTATGTGTGCTGCCGAAGCAAGCACTAATCTTACAAGTTTTGTTGGTTACTGGAATAAGATAAGGCATCTTGTTATCTAATACGTTTGTTCCGTTGTTTGTTATACTATAATTCTGAATGTTGGATACCTTCAGTACATGTCCCACCTTTACTTCCACATTTACTGATTCAGTAAGTTATTCAATCTTACAGGGGCTGTGAACCTCTGTAAGCACCAAAGCCTGGTTATTTTGTTTAAAAAAACTAAAATGTTCTGCACATTTTTTATAAGAAATTTAACTTTTACTTAATAACTTAGGCTGTCATGCAAGATAGCTGCAATACTATGACAGAAGCTTTAGGGGGGTAAAGCATCAATCCATATACTAAGGGGACCTGGACTGGTATGCTTTTATAATTCTCTTGTTTATCAGTCTTAACTCTCAATGATCCTTCCTGTATCTGAACTGACCCCACCTTTTAATTTGTTATGGAGGTTAACAAAAACCAATTATCATGCTTCTGACTCAAATAACGTTTACTAAATGCCCTACCAATAATAATACAAATAATTTGTTAGAATTGTAGCCAATGTAGTTCCTACTAAAGACTTGAAGAAAACAGTTCTAATAAAATAAAGGAGCATAATTGCTTAATGAAATTGAGAGGCTAACTCTTTTGGATTTTTGTTTTTTGAAGGATCTATTCCTTGTTTCAGTGTCTTAATACCTAACTTACGGTTCCGATTCAGATTGTTCAATTAGTGAGCTATGGGATAACTGAGAGGGTTCACTAAACTATCTTACGAGCTATCCAGGTGAACTATCCAAGTTAGGGTAACACTAAAAAATAGGAATATGTATCTAAAACAAAATACCTGGTTACTCATTCACTAAGATTTTCACAAAAAGCCCAGAGAAATAAGAACTGTATTACATAATAGGACTTTTATATTTGTAATTATAACTACACTAAAGAGGCCCAGTGCACGACATTAGTGCAGTGTGTGTGTGTGTGTGTGTGTGTGTGTGTGTGTGTGAGAGAGAGAGAGAGAGAGAGAGAGAGAGAGAGAGAGAGCACTAATGTCATGCACTGTGAGCGCATAGGCACAGCCCAGCCTATGCCCTCTCGCAGTCCAGGAGCAGGTCTAAGCCAGCAGGCAGACATCCCCCAAGGGGTCCTTGGTACTGAGGCCACTGAGCTCGCCAGCCATGAGCCCAGCTTCTGGCTGAGCAGTGCTCCCCCTGTGGGAGTGCACTGACCACCAAGGGGCAGCTCCTGTGATGAGTGTCTGCCTTCTGGTGGTCAGTGCACATCATAGCGACGGGTCATTCTGTTGTCCGGCTGATTTGAATATTAGGTTTTATTATATAGGATTGAATGCATGTATGAAATCTTGCTATTTCAATAATACTGTTGCTTAAGAATCTTCTTAATTGATTAAAACAACACCTTAATTCAGTATATCAGAGCTATAGAAGGATAGAATTAAGGGAAATATTTTAAGGGAAATATTCCCAAATTAAGGGAAATATTTTCACCATTAAATTTACTATCAAGATTCTGAAAAGCAATCCTCTTTGGTTTTTAGTTTTCTTTCCTCAATAAAATAGCTCTGTTAAAAAAAAAAAAAAAAATCTGCCTGTTTGAGCGGTTACAGTTCAATTCTGGGTCAGGGCATATGCCTGGGTTGCCGGCTCAATCCCCAGCATGTGGTGTGCAAGCCAATTAGTGATTCTCTCTCATCATTGATTTTTTTTTTCTCTCTCTCTCTCTCCTCCCTTCCTCTCTGAAATCAAGAAAAAATATTTTTTTAAAAAATGAAAATCTTAAACATGTTAATATGTATGTAGTCACTAATCCAAAAAAACTCAATAGGTCATGGAAAAACATCTTTCCCACATCTTAATGTAAAGGTATCATTGCTTATATCCTGACTTAATTAGATAAGCTGTAGCCTTCAAATGGAGGATTCTAAATATAATTTTAAAGTCTAGAAATTTTTTTCTTTTAACAGCCATTTCACTTTAAGGGCCATTTTAAAGTCAGAATTGTTGAAGAATGCTTACTTATTTTCAGCCATTCTAATACAACTGACAACGGTATACTCAGATTCACTTCCTCATTCAAAGAACAGATGACACACAGCAATACACTTCCAGGCACTTATAACTTATAAATGTAACCAGTAAGAAAACAAAGTAGCTTTAAAATACTAAAATTCCAGACGTAAAGTAGTATAAAAACTACTTTCCCAGAAGCAACATTCTCGAAAGCTGAGATCTTTACTTTGTGCAGGAGTACCAGATGGCGATGGCTTATATGTCAAAGCTTTATGACAGGCAAAGACACCAAGAAAGAAGTAACTGTTGCTACCTACTCATTCACAGAATTTTTAAAATCGGTGAAAACAGCCATTCTAATGCAAATATACAGAGAATTTTTCATGATGTAAGCTACCATCATCAGATCAAACCCTGTGTGACAATTCATTTTTCTTTTCCGAAGCAAAAATACTTTGACACTACTCTGTATCAACGCACAGGTATGCACTTTCAGCTTCTGATCACATAAAGATCCGATTTCCAACCAGAATCCATGCTGTGCCATTCACTGTCGGATCCTTGAGGATCAACAGCTGAATAGGCAAAACCCTCTGTTTGTTTGTTTGTTTGTTTGTTTGTTTTAAAAGAAATGCTTCCTGAAAAGTAGATGGCTAAGCTACATTTTAAAACTGTCTGAGAAAAGGCGTGTAAGGATTTGCCTCTTTCGGATGCGAACACACTTTTGCAGCCACTTAGCTCTGGCCCCAAAAACGTGAACGCTCCATTTGCTGCAGAAAAGGAAGAAGAAGGGGGGGGGGGGGGGGGGGAAGAAAGGCTATAAAAGCTTTCTGAAGGATGGTATTTCAAACAGGAACACTCGAAACACTCCAGCCTAGGGAGCGGAAAGAAGAGGGGAGGGAGGGGGTACCTTACGAAACAGCAGCACCCTCCGGGGCCCCGCACGCCACCTCATTTCCCTAATAGGGATGGAAAGCTCGGGCCGCGGGTAGCTCCCGGCTGACGCCAATGCCCTCCACACCCCCTTTTTTTTCTTTTTTTGACAGCATTTTCTGGCGCCAGAGCCTGGTCACAAAGATGAATTCCAGGGGATCAAGTCTTAAGAATCAATCGGGCGCTTTTTATTTTATTTTTAATTATTATTATTATTATTATTATTATTATTATTATTGCAAGCAACAAACCCTTCAGGGAGATCCCGTTTCCCTCTCCCCCCTCTCTCTCCCCCCATAGCCCAACACTCCCGGGCGGGCGGGCGGGTCTTCTAGACGCGACTCCACAAGCCCTTCAGCGCGGTAACGGGCAGGCGGACGCGATATAGACAACGCGAGTTTCGGCCATTCCCACCCCGCACGCACCCCACCCCCACCCCTCCCTGGGACCGAAATCGCAGGCTCCATTTCCTGTCCCCGGAGGCTGCAGCCCCGGCCGCGGGGAACCGGCCGCCTCTCGCCTCGGCCCCTCCGGGCGGGCGGGCGGGCGGGCGGGCGCACGCGGCCCCGGCGCTCCCTCCATCCGGCCCGGACCCGGTGAGCTCCCTCCCTCCCCCTCCCCTCCCCCGCCGGCGCCGGCACCCACCTCGCGGCGGCAGCAGCTTCACCTCCCCGTTCTCCTCCCGGGCGGCCCCGCAGGCCTCGCCCGCCCCGCCAAGGCCGTGCCGCCGCCTCTCCTTCTCCCGCTTCTCCTTGGCCCGGCGCGGCTTGGCGGCGGCCGGCGGCGGCGGCGGCGGCGGCTGGGCGCGCGGCAGCGCCGGGGGCACCAGCAGTTTGCGCGGCGCCGGCTGAGACGAGGAAGCGGAGGCTGCGGACGGGACGGCCGAGCCGGCGGAGAAAGGGAAACTGTTGCGAGCGGCGGACGGGGAGGGGGCGGCGGCGGCAAGGGCGGCGAAGCTCCACGGCGCGGGGCTGCCGTAGCTCTGAGGCGGAGCAGCCGCCGGCGGCTGCAGCTGCTGCCTGCTGTTCCCGCCGCCGCTGCCCCCTTCTCCGTTCAGTCTCCGCGGCGCCTTCTTCTCCTCGGTCCGGACCTTCTTGGCGGACAGGGGGCCCGGCGGGTCCCGGCAGGCGGTCTGCAGCTTGCCAAACGGTTCTTTCCCCGAGACTTGGGGGACGGCGGCAGCGGCGGCGGCGGCAGCGCCGTGCGCTGGGCTCGGCGGTTCCGCCATTTTGCGCTCCTGTTGTATTTACTCTCCTCGGCTCCGGGCGCGGGGCAGGGGCGGGGCCCGCCGCGAGGGGCTGGGTGGGCGGGGCCTCCTGCCACCGGCCTGGCCCGTCATTGGGCGAGCCTTCCTGATGGATCCCTCTGAAAGCCTATGAAAGGCGCGAATCTCGACCCGAGGGGGCGGGGTCGCCGAGTGAACCCGCTTTGGAGGTCACCCCTCCGCGGGACGCGTCCCGCGGCTCAGAGCGCGGCGCGGGGGCTTCCTCCCAGGGTCGCCGGCGGGAGCTCCGGGTTCAGGGAGTTTTCCGGGGAGAACCCCCAACTCCGGAACCCCGAAATCGGCCCCGGCCCTGATCGCGCTCTGCAGTCTCGGCCTCGATGACTTTGTCACATCACTTTCTCTTCGTCTTTCCCTCGGCTCCTCCGGGTCTCTCCCCGCCTGCCTCTTCGCGCCCAGAAAGCTGGATTTCGCAGACGCTCGGCTCCAAAGGAGAACATTTTTCCTTCGTTTTTGGCCGTCGTCGATGGCTGGGAGGTGCTAAAAGTCATTTTGGTGTGTTTTTTTGAAAAGATCTGTTAACTGCGGTTTAAAAATCGTGCACTCTTGAAAGTTGGAGGGAAATAGAACTTCCTGCACATGCAAGCCTGGAACTTTGGGATTACTTCTGAGCTTAAAGGTAAGCGTCTCGGTAGGGGGGGAATAATGTTCTCACTTTTGTGATGGCATCCTTGAAGATTTTAATTTTATCATAACTATTATAACACAGACTGGCTAAGAAAAAAATCCGTTAGCAATATTTATAGATGTTTGGAAAGCAAGGTGTGTTTTTGTTTTTGTTTTTTTTCCCCTCATTGTGTTTTAGCGTTCAGTCAGCATCCTGCGTGTTGGAAGTGCGCGCTTTGGTTTCTAGTTTAGAAGATCAGGAATTTGGAGGGGATGGGTTTACAGTCATAAGGTTGCATCCAACACTAGGTAGGAGCACGATGTTCAGTGAGCTCTAAGGTCTCCCATGAGACCAGAAGTCAGAGGAATAGACTGTAAAAATAAAATAGTCCAATCAGGAAATGACCAGTCGAAGGGTTTTTTGTTGTTTTTTGTTTTAGTCCTAGAAAGGGAGACCTAAATTGCCTACAGTTTTCTGGAAAACAGTTCCAAGTCACTATCCAGGATTGCCAGTACTTACTAGTGACTTAATAAAGTTGGATTTTTGAGCCCTCCCCCCACTCTTTGTTTTTTCTATTTTTAGAATACATTGGAGGTAAAAATGTAATATTGGCTTATAGGTGCCTCCAAATTTTAAAATGAAAGTATTTGCTAACATTAATACATAATAATGAAAGCAAGTGGAAACTGTAGCTGGAATTGACCGGCAGCTGGTGTCTTCATGAAAAGTAGTCTTGGTGGAAGAGAGGGCAGAGAGGGTGGAACTGAAATCACCTGCTGCTGACTAGCTTTGTGACTGCAGTCAGGGTGCTTCATTATCAGAATCTGTTTTGTTAAGTGAATAAATTTGATTGCATGATCACTAAGGTCCCTTTAAAACTTTAAACTTATGCCTTCTGTATTCAAGAAACTTATCAAAAATCACACTGAAACCATTACAATTAAAATAGCTTCTTAATTGTTGACCTTCCAGATATAGAAAAGTGTCTCATATACATTAATGTAGTGCCTATAAACTTGTACCATTTATTCCCTCATCTCCCACATCGACGTCTGGAAATCTGACTATATCAGGCTCCAGCTAAAATAAACTCTCATCTGTGTGCTGTGTTACTACTTGCACTACACCGTTTAAATTTGCAGAGCCTGGGCAGAAAGGCTATGGCAGCTCACATACCATATGTCCAAATATTTAAGTTATAAATCAAGCTGAGAAACTGTTTTTATAAAAACTATTCTACTTTGCTACCTTGACAAATAAATAATTTTTTTTTTATCTGCTTAAATAATAATCCTGAAGGTAAAATTTTCAGACTTTGAGAAATGGACTGACCCATTCTCCTCCCATTCCTAGCTGCTTCACCTGCCACACCAAAAGGGATCATAAATGAATGCAATCAACATGTCTAAGCTTATGTCCATGCTCCTCACCCCCTGCATATAGTGATGTGTAATCAACAACTAGGTCTGCCCTCAGATCTAGCCAGTCTAAAAGAGGAGTGCAGGCGCCCCAGCTGGTTTGGCTCAGTGAGTAGAGTGTTGGCCTGTGGACTGAAGGGTCCCAGGTTCAATTCCAGTCAAGGGCACATGCCCAGGATGCTGGCTTGATCCCCAGTAGGGGGTGTGCAGGAGGCAGCCAGCCGATCAATGATTTTCTCTCTCTTCCTTCCTCTCTGAAATCAATGAAAATATTAAAAAAAAAAAAGAGTGCAGGTGACCTCATAGACACCTTGCCCTTTGCAATAAAAGGAGGGTCCTTATCTAGATCTAACAGGAGCACTATTATAAAACATACCCAGTTATCTCTTCTCTCCAGGTGTTCAGCCATTCCCTTTCAACTAGATCATTACTAACAATGTTGAACTAGGAGAGAATTCCCACCATCATCAATTCCTACTGGCTTCATCTCTGCCAGCACTAAAACCATCCACTTCTCTTCATCTCACCTGGAAGACTATACTCGACTTTCCTGGTCTCATTGTAGGTATTCTAATTTTCTCAAATCTGTTCTCTATTCTACCCAGAATGCACTTTTTCTTTTTTTAAACATTTTTTTATTTCAGATAGGAAGGGAGAGAAAGAAAGAGATAGAAACATCAATGAGAGAGATCATTGATCAGCTGCCTTCTGCACCCCACCTATTGGGGATCGAATCTGCAACCCGAGCATGTGCCCTTGACTAGAATCGAACCTGGGACCCTTCAGTCTGTAAGCCGATGCTCTATCCACAGGGCCAAACCAGCTAGGACCAGAATGCTCTTTTCAAAACCTAAATCTGATCATATCACTTTCCCCTGCTTCAGACCTGTCAATGGCTTTCATTGCTCTTAGGCTAAAGAACAAAATCCTTAAAATGACTATAAGACCCATCATGATCTAGCCCCTTCCTCTTCCGTGTCAAAAGAAAAGGTCTTTAAAATGAAGGGGGGGGAAACCAAAATGATAATAATAAATGAAAAAAGGGGGAAGAAAAAAATTAGAGGAAAGAGAGAAACTGTTTTTATGATTGTTTGGATAACAAGCAATTATGTAATGACCATAACAGAAGCAGATATCATGAATAACTCCTATATTTCTAACTTGATGACTTGATGTACAATGATACCATTTACTGAGCAAGGAAACACAGAAGAACGACAAGTTTGGGATACTCTTTGGCCTTGGTCCTGGCGATCATAAGGTGCATGTGAGACCTCACAGCCTTTGGATACGGGTGCAAGCCAAGGCTCACTTCTTAGAGAAGCCTCCTGTCTCTTCCCTATCAAGACTAGATTCCTGACCTGTTACGACTCAGTTGATTGAACATTGACTCATGAACCAAGAAGTCATTAGTTTGATTATCAGCAAGGGAACATAGCCAGGTTGCAGACTGATCCCTAGTGGGGGGCATGCAGGAGGCAGCTGATCAATGTTTCTCTCATTGATGTTTCTCTCTCTCCCTTTCTCTTCCTCTCTCTCTAAAATAAATAAAAACATTTTTTAAAATAATAAACTATTAAAAGACTAGATTCCTTTCTTTGATAGTTGGCTTGTGTTTAGCTCATCTACCCTCCAGCCATTATTTTAACTGACATCAGTTAAATGCTAATAGCCCATCCAATATTTTTGCCTCAGTGTTCTTCTTGGACCTGCATTTCCATTCAGTTTCATCCACAAACTCCAATGGATCCTTCTTCATCTTTTTCATTACTCTTTAATCTCTGAAATTCTAAAATACAGTGTTTGAATATTCATTTTTCTCACTCCTGGACACCATACCGTGCTCTTGCCCTTTGACTCAAGATAGCCCCTAGACTCCAGGTCTTTTTTTCCCACCTAATTATGGTTGCCAGATAAGAAACAGGACACTCAATTAAATTTGAATTTCAGATTAACAATGAAAAAAAAATTGTTGTAAACATGAGCCATATATTATTTGGGATATATATATATATATATCCCATATATATATGGAAGGTATTCTTTATCTGAAATTTCAATTTAACTGAATGACTGAATGTTCCTTTTTTTTTTCCGGATAACTCTGGCAACCCTACACTGATTCATCTCTTCTATACTTTCTTCCCTATCCAACCTGGAACCTGAGGTACATAATTTGTACTAAACATTTGCCAGCACCTCAATTCCTCACACTCTGATTCTCTTCATCTCTGTGCTGCTAAACCTCACCCTCAGGTCATCTCCTCTGCTTGCTCTCCTACATCCAGGCTGGTAAGCATCTCTCCATTTAATTATTGGGGATTCTTAGGGCTGTGTCACTGCTCTTTTTTTTACTCTGCATACTACTGTGTGATATTATACATCACAGTGTCGTCTGATACATCATGAATGCTGACAGTTCCCGTCTTTCTCTCCTGCCTTGACCTTCTGCCTGATTCCTGACTCTTGTCCAGATGCCAAGTGGACGTCATCACCTGTATAGCTACAGACACCTCAGACTTTATAGCACCCATCCCCACCCTCCCATGTATCAGTCTCCTGCATTGCTTATCCACATTATCAATTCAAGTGACAAATCTGGGTGGGACTCCTCTTTGACTTCTCTTTTCCTTTCATCTCCTCATTCCGGCACTCTCTATTTCTAGTCAGTTTCTCTTCTCCAATACCACTGCTGCTGCTTGCTTTCAGGCCTCAGGTCAACTTGGATTATGTCAATGATTTCCTACCTAACTGGGTCTGTCTGCCTCTAGTCTTCCATCTTCTACTTGCTAAGTATCTAGATTTTTTTAATGAGAAGTTTCTTAAGAAACTGTGCAAGCCAAATAAACATCTGTGGTCTGATAACCCAATCTGTCTCTCCTCCCTTCCACTCTAAAAAAAAAAATCAATGGAAAAGTATCCTCAAGTGAGGATTAACAAAATAAAAGAAAAATGCTTGCCCCTCTCAAACCTCTGGCACTATCCTGAGGGAATAGCTTCTTTTCATGGAGGCTTCCTGTAGTTATGGGCAGTGACCAGCAGAGTTGATCCAAGTCTAAGGACTGGGAGAGAAGTGTTATGGATTGCTCAGTGGATAATTCATGGAACATTAAGACAACACTTTTTTCCAACATATACTAAAAATAGACTTGTGTGTATCTGCAAGTCTGATAGTTTTATAACATTGATTAGTATGTCAGTTCTCAATGAATGATGATTTACTAACCTCACAGAGTAGCCTGTTCCACTTTTGTATTGCCCTAGTTGTTAGGAAGGTATTTCTTTCACTTAACCAAACATTTCCTCTTCTGATTCCCACTCATTGTAAACCATTTTACTAGGACATCAGCAAGTAAGGCCAATCTTTTTGTTGGAATTTTAAAATTTAATTTGGAGTGGCTTGCCTACTTTTTTAAAATATGTATTTTTAAAAAATTGATTTCAGAGAGGATAGGGGGAGGAAAGAGAGAGAGAAACATCAATAATGAGAATCATTAATCAGCTGCCTCCTGCATGCCCCCCAGTGGGGTTGGAGACTAAAACCTTGTCACGTGCTTTGACCAGGAATTGAACCGTGACCTCTTGGTTCTTAGGTCATTGCTCAACCACTGAGCCATGCCAGCGGACTGCCTGGGCTACTTTTAATCTTTTTATCTGTTTCAAGAGAAAGTGAAGCAGTAGACAAAGTGCCCCAAGTGAAGCAAGGTTTGTTTTAAGATTTGCCAGTCATTGCATCCTTAATAATGAGGCTACTCAATCTGCACCTGCATAACTGCCACAGTTATTCTCCTAGATCTTAAAGGAATCCCAGCTTCCAGATGGGCAGGCCTGTGCTGGAATAATAATAATAATAACCAAATAATTAAAAGCCAGATGACTGTCCTATTTCCTCCACCCCCATTCCTAAACCATCTTACATTACTGGTAAAATAGTGTCAAGATTTTCCCCTTGAATTCTAGGAAACCCATCTCTGTACCTTGCTCTTGGTATGACCTGGTGTTTCCCATTCCTGAGATATCCCAGGTTCTACAGAAAGGAGTGGCTGTCCCTTTGGCCTCATTACCCCTCTCCCCATATTCTGTGCTGCACTGTCCCCTGTCCTCTTTGTTCAGTACCTAGTCCAGCACCAGTTCTGTAATCCAGAAGTGGACTCTCTCAACCATGGCTGCTCTCTGTCATTCTCTTCATGTTTTAGTTTTATACCTTTTTGAAATAAATCCCTTTATCATCGTTATAATGAGCTCCTTGGGGAAGAAGAGATAAATAGGCACAATTGGTCAGTCAACTTGAACCAGAAACAGTGATTATAACTCCTAGAGTCAGGTTTACTAACATATTAAAGAAATTTGGACCCTAACCGGTTTGACTCAATGGATAGTGTGTCAGCCTGTGGACTGAAAGGTCCCAGGTTCGATTCTGGTCAAGGGCATGTACCTTGGTTGCGGGCACATCCCCAGTAGGGGGTATGCAGGAGGCAACTGATTAATGTTTCTCTCTCATTGATGTTTGTCTCTATCTCTCTCCCTTCCTCTCTGTAAAAAATCAATAAAATATATATATTTTTTTTAAATTGGGAAACAGAAAAGTAAAAATCTGTAATTGTACCACGCTAACACAAATACATTTATTTATTTGCACATTTATTTAATATGCATTCAGTAAACAAACTATAGTAAGGAAATTGTAGCAAGATAGAAATTATCACATAATATTTTGGTATATTTTTATTGAATCCTAATGTTAGTTTTTTTTAAATGCATTGCAGTTACACAATTCAGTCTATTCAGTCTTATCTCCTTTATTTTATTTTTTAACTTACAGCATAGTAGGAGTGACAAAAGGAGGCAAAGCCACCATTCCCTGCAGAAAAAGTAAAGGGTAGTTCATTTACTCCCTTCTGTGTCTTACAAATTTCATAGCCTCAGGCTTCCATTCAAGGTCTATGATTTTTGCCTTGCCTGGTTTCTGCTCTCTTTGTAGCTACAATCATATTTTAAATATAACTGAATCATACTCCAGCAGTGTTTTCAGTTATTTTTTAAAGTATGTTTTTATTGGTTTCAGGGAAAGGAAAGGGGGGAGAGATAGAAACATCAATGAAAGAGAAACATCAATCTGTGGCCTCCTGCACACCTCCTACTGGGGATCAAGCCACAATCTGGCATGTGCTCTGAAGAGGAATCAAACCATGACCTCCTGGTTCGTGGGACAATGCTCAGCCAACTGAGCCACACCAGCCAGGCTCCAGTAATTTCTTTTTCTTTTTCTTTTTTTATAATGCAGTCGTTTTTAGTATATTTACAAAGTTTCACAACATCACCACAATCTAATTTTAGAACATTTTCATCACCCCAGAAAGAAACCGCATATCCATTAGCAGTCTCTATTTCCCCTTGTCTTCTGCCAGCCCAGCTCTATCATTAATCTACTTTTGTTTCCATAGGTTTGTCTTTATCACTGTTTGTAGTGGGGACAGGTACAGATGGGGAGAAAAGTGAGCTCTCATCTGGAAATGAGCTTCTACTTCTGATCTCTGCTTGTCTTCTGTCTCCAAAATTTGAAGTTAAAATTTGTTACTTTGAAATTTTTCTTCCAAAAATTCCCATCTGATCCCAAAAAGATATTGAGATATGATATCTATAAACATAGATACCTAAATTTTTATCTTATTTCATATCTTTAATCCTATTTCTCGTGAATGAGTAACCCTAGTACACATATACACATACTAGTAAATGCCTACCTTGCCCTGAGATATTTCAAAGCCTTGTCTGAACTTAAAATAAGGTCACCATGCCTCAAACACTTTCCCCTAATTCTCTAATTCCTGGGTTTTTTAGATCAGGCTGTTTTACCTGTATCTTGCTGATGGTAGATAAGATAGCCATAATATTAGGTAACAGTGAATGGAGGAGACTAGATTGAACCATGGGGAATGGCTTAGCGCAAACACCCCTCTCCACCATGTGCACAATTAGAATTGAACCTGGGGAGAGGAAGAAGGGTGAGAGGTCAGTATGGGAAGTCTTTAGTGGGTACTTTTTCCAACCAGAGCCTCTTGGCCGCCCTAGCTTCCCCTCCCCCACTCAGGAGTGATCCTTTGTGATGTCTGAGCAGCCCATAGCCACCATTGGCTGTGGGGAGTGCCTTGATGACAAAACAAAGCTAAAGAGGTGTGACTCCTCATTGCCCTGGGGAGGGGTATATATACAGAGGACAGGACCCCTGGGGTAAAATATTTGAGAGCTTAAACATGGCAAAGGTGACCAAGAAATCATGGGAGCGAAAATCCACTAGCACTAGGCGGTGGAAGAAGAAGAAGACCCGCTCTCAACCTAAATCAAGACGCAATAACAAGGTCAGATGATCCTACCTACCCAAGAACCTCTTTTTCTTCCTCTTTTATATCCTCTACCCGCCACCCTCCCCAGATAATCCTGCCTCTGCCTGGCACAAACCTCCTCCTCAGTTCCTCCTTCCTACCCATCCCCATTTTCTTCTTCCAGCCCAAAGCCCTCTAGGCTGACCTTGTTGCCTTACCAGGTTCTGAAGATATACAAGAAGATAAAAAGACCATTTCACATGACCTCAAGGAAAAAATACTCGCCTAAAGTTAAAACTACTTCCAGAAGGCGGAAGAGAGAGAGAAGGGCCAACAGATTTCAGCCATAAGCAGCCAGGCCAAGCCGTAAGCAGCCAGGCCAAGCCCAGCAACCCTATAAAAAGACACCACTTGAAGATAAGATCCCTGCCAACAGCACCTGCAGAGCAAGCTTCGGAGACCTCAGACAATCTGCTGCATCTAAGTCCTGGCTGCTGAGAAATGGCCAACCTCATAGGGACTTACTCAGACACTAATGTGGAATGGTGGTTATTAAAATCAACAAGGTGTGAGAAACCCCTCCAAAGATAAAATAAAAATAGGCTCTCTGCCAGAAATTGTGTTGCATTAGTGTTTGAGATTGACTCTCAAAATAGATAGTGAAATAACAGAAGCTCAGAATCTTTGCTATAAAGCAAGTCCCGGTTCCCCCACATCCCCATGAGGAGAAAATGTATGTGCAGCTTCCTAGGGTGGGAAAATACCCTTCCACCAGATTCCCCAACTGTAGAGGACCAATTTAATAATTTCTTTACTTTGTGCTCAACACCCAATTTAAATGTGAGTGACATCAGCAGAACATAGCACTGCCCATGTACACTCTTAATAGGCTTCAAGGCAGTAGAGAAGGGAAAAGGGAGAAAGATGTCCCCGGGAGGTTCTGACTTTCTCAGTCATGATGCAGAATGAGCTGCTCCGGTCCTGTGGGTGTGATTTAGTTGGAAATTGAAGGCCCTAGAACTTCATAGACTCCCTCATCCTCTGTTGACCTTGAGGTGAGTTGTAATAAAGGACAGAGCAGCACCAGGCCCAGTCACAAGGAGAGGATAATCATGTGGCTACATCACAAGCAGAGATACTCATCTCTGGTCTGATTCTGCCCAGCCTCCCCAGTCTCACCTTCCCCATCAATTATCCCTTCCATTTGAAGCAAGGGTTGGGAACTTCTTTTCTGCCCAGAGCCATTTGGATATAACATCATCCATGGGCCATACAAAATTATTAACTTAAAAATTAGCCTATTTTTTTTTTAATTAGCCTGCTATATTTGGTCAAACATTTACTTAACTTATCCCTAATGCCTTGGCAAGGCCAGACCAAAATGATTTTGAGACCCTGATATGGCCCATGGGCTGGATGTTCCCCACACCTGCTGTAAGGGCTCAGTCCCCAGCAGAGGCAGAAATGGTTCGAATTACAGTATTCATAGGTTAGAACAGTGATCCTCAAAAAGTGTGTGTCTCACCCCGCTGATGTGGCTCAGTGGTTGAGCGGTGAACTATGAACCAGAAGGTCATGGTTTGATTCCCTGTTGGGGCACATGCCAGGGTTGTGGGCTCCATCCCCACTGTGGGGCATATAGGAGGCAGCCAATGGATGGTTCCCTCTCATCATTGATGTTTCTTTCTCTATCCCTCCTCTCCCTCCCTCTCTGAAATCAATAATATATTTATTTTTATTTTTATTTTTTTTTAAATTTGTGACTCTCCAAGAGAATTTGAAGCACCATGCACCTTCCTAATTTTAAATTCGGCATCTTAAATTTTTTATCATGAATTTAAATATTTATTGAGAATGTAATTTCTTTTGTTTGTTTGTTAATCCTCACCCGAGGATATTTATCCATTGATTTTTAGAGAGAGTAGAAGGGGGAGGGAGAGACAGAGAGAAACATCAGTGTGAGAGACACACATCGATTGAATGTCTCCTAGCATGCGCCCCAACCAGGACTGGGGAACTTGCAACTAAGGTATGTGCCCTTGACTGGAATTGAACCCAGGACCCTTCAGTCCTCAGGCCGTCACTCTATTCACTGAGCTAAATATTTAGGATGCCAATTTCTTATTGTAAATATTGATATTTAAAATAAAACTTTAAATTTACAGTTCAGTGTATATTTTGATCAGATAAATTTCATTCCACTTTGCTATTAAATTAAATGAGAGGTGCCACAAGACTGGGTTATTACTTGGCCTTGCATTTTTCTCAAAAACTGAATCTGCTCAAGCAGTTGAACAAGCACATGATTGAGACTCAATTCTTTGCCATGCTGTATGAATGAGATGATTTCTTCTGTATATTTTTAAAGGCTGCTGTTATCTGACATAGGTAGGCTTAAACTATAGGACGAGTGCCAGTCCGAACTCTGTGCACTCTGTGTGCCTACAGAACACATTAGCCTCAAACTGCACCCAGCAGAGGAGCGAATAGAACCAAGGGTATGTGGTTGTTTACAGGGTTCACTTAGAAATCAGGTGTTTGTAACATCTTTTGTGAAAACGAATCTCGACCATTTTTTTGCTAGTGGAAAATAGAACAAAATGTGTTTATGTAGATTTGCTGAAATTTAAAATGTTCATGGCCAAAACCGGTTTGGCTCAATGGATAGAGCGATGGCCTGTGGACTGAAGTGTCCCAGGTTCGATTCCAATCGAGGGCATATGCCTTGGTTGCAGGTACATCCCTGGTGGGGGGTGTGCGAGAGGCAGCTGATCGATGTTTCTCTCTCATCAGTGTTTCTGGCTCTCTGTCCTTCTCCCTTCCTCTCTGTAAAAAAATCAATAAAATATATTTAAAAAAATAAAATAGTATGTTCATGGCATAATATTGAAAACAGTGTCCCCTATGCCCATCTTTGGCTCTTTATCTTTTTAGTGAATTTAAAACAGGTCTCTATAAAGATGGATCCACAGGAAATTGATAGCATTAGTTGCCTCTGAGAAGGGGAACTGAGTGGGACAATATAGAAGGAAACTTGATTGTATAACCTCTTGTATCGATTGGCTTTAAGCCATCTGAATGCATTGCATATTCAATTTTTTATAACAACTTGATGGGATCTGAAGTTGTGCAAAGTTTTACAGGACGGAACCCTTTAACTGCTGGAATCTGATGCTGTCTCCAGGTAGACAGTGTCAGAATTAAATTGTAGGACACCCAGCTGTTGGGTGAGAATTGCTTGGTGTGGGGAAGACACACACATATTGTAATTGGTATCAGAATCATAGGAAACAAATGGATGCAGAGTTTAGGTGCTAACAGAAAGGAAACAAGAACACTTTGTTAGAATATCTGCATCAAAGTTAAAAACAAATTGTCAGGCTAATAGGAAAGCTTTAAAGTAAAAGAAAGTGGTCAAACTCTGTGGTTTCATCTTTCTCCCTCAGCATTTAAGCAGTAAAGAGTGTAAACTAGAGATTTGGTCGGTATGTTCAGTGGTTACAACATTGGCCAGAGCACCAAAGGCTTGTAGGTTCAAGTCCCAGTCAAGAGCACATACTTGGATTGCAGGTTTGATCCCCAGTGTGCAAACGCTGTGTCTCTCTCTCACATAGTTCTCTCTCCCCCTCCCTTCCACTCTTTCTTTAAAAAATCAATGGAAAAAATACCCATTTTTGTGAGGGTTAACAACAACAAAAAAGTGAAAACTAGAGAATAAATGTTTGTCTACATACTTTGCCCAAAGGAGAATATACTTCAGAGAGGTAACTATGTTCATTGGGAAAAGGGATGTAATAATTAATAGTTCAGGACAGTCCTGGAAAGAATCTTCTATCTCATGGTAGGGATTCCTGATGAATCCCAAGAGGCCAGGAAAGCTGCTCACCATGCTGCCTCCTCTCTCACACACAGACGAATCACTCTTATTCAGGAGACAGAGACACTTTCAGAGCTACTTTCTATTCTCACTAACCTGGGTCTAAAGAAGGCCCCCAAATACATACTTTTTTCTTTAAAACATACTTCATACTTAATCTGATGATTTCTGCTTTTTAAATGCAATCCATCAAATGCTTTTTCTATTTCCTAAGTTATTTCTATTTAAGTACAAAATTGAGTTTGTTATAGTAATCATATGCAGAATTCTAGGGATAGACAGCACCATTTGTCAATTTGTTAAAGGTCTTTTAGTTTGTTTTCACAACACTTAGTTTCTATTTCCAATTCTCTGTTGTTGTTTTTTTGTTTTGTTTTTGTGCTCTTAATCTCCCATGACTTAACTTTAATTTAAACCTCAGACTTGGGAACCATCTCTTCACATACTTGTAGTTAATTATTCATCTACCTGAATGTCTTGCATTTGACGGAACATGCCCAGTTCTTTTAACAGTGTCTCATAGGTCTAATTTCATAGACCTTTAATCAGTTGCTCTTCTCCTCTGAACATTCTCCAAGTTATTTCTCTTTATATAGGATGGCATGTAAAATTAAATATAGTTTGTTCCAACTGAAGCCTGACCAATGCCAAAAAAAATAATAAGCGCTTCTCTCCTTTTTTTTCACACATATGCCTTACTACAATCCTGTAAAGTATTTATCTTATTTCAACATACTCATCCAACTTAGCATCAACCATAATTATTGGATCGCACTTGGCTTTGTTTCAGCTATGCTGTCTTAGCTAGTATTTCCACGTGTTTGTTGCAATTCAGCAGCCTATTAAAATTAAAGGTTAAGCCTGTAAAAGAATTTCCTTCATATAATTTTCTTTTGAAGATTGTTCTAAGAACAATTGGTATAAATAAGAACTTAGAGCTTGGGAGTCTCCAGAACTAAAGCTTGAATGTTTCTGAGTACTTTTGTGATATGAGCTGGAAAGGATGCAAATGGTTAGATACTAGGAGAGACTGCAAAAACTGAAATAAGCAGGTTGCCTTTGTTTCAGCTTGTCAGAGCTCACTTGTAAGCAATTTCCGCTAACTTAAGCAAAGGGGAGTTTATTGGAAAGATGTCAGATGATTTTCAGGCTGGATAATCATGCTCGGACATTAGCAAACACCAAGAACGCTCTAAAAAGCAGAATCTCAGCAATACTCTACACAGGAAGAGCATTAGCACCCACTTGTTGGAACTGCTCCCTAGTCATTCAGAATTTAAACCTTAGGCACTGGGGAAATGGGGAATCCTAAAAGCAATAAGGATTGAAAGACAACACACACCTTTCAGAACACTGCAGTCTAGGAAGGAAAGAAAAGAGATACACAAATAATAAAATATAAAACCAAGTGTTGATCATGCTATAAGAAGAAATATTCCAAAAGCCAACTTCCGGGTTGTCTCATAGTTATAG